GAGGCAGGGGAATTAATCATCAAAAGACAGAAAATGAGGCAGGAATTGAGGGAAAATCTCAGGGAAGCTCAGAGCAGAATAAAGCAATACGCTGATTCGAAAAGAGTGGATAAGGACTTTGAAGTGGGAGAGAAGGTGTACCTCAAACTCCAACCTTACCGCCAACAAACTGTGCAAATGAGAAGGCATCACAAACTGGCTGCTCGTTATTATGGTCCCTACACTATTCTGGAAAAAATAGGGAAGGTAGCCTACAAATTAGACCTACCAGAAGAAGCTAAGATACACCCTGTCTTTCATGTTTCCCTTCTGAAACGGTATCTCGCCTCAGGAGCACCAGTGACCTCAACTCTTCCTCCTGTTGACAAAGACGGGAACTTCTGCATCTCTCCATCATGGGTCAAGAAGATACAATTTAGCCGTGGAAGGACAACACCAGTGACCCTACACATCGCTCAGGGTGAGTCGGAGGAACCTTTAACAGGTTGGTCAACCAAAGCTAAACTCCAGCAACTTTGGGCTGAAGTTGATCCTTGGGGACAAGGATCTTTGAAAGGAGGGAGTAATGTCATGTTCGAGCTAAAGAGCAGGAGGGAGTAGAGTTGAAATCCTTATTGGGCCGAACATGGATTAAATATTATTGCTTGCTTATTATTATTATTATTATTATTATTATTATTATTATTATTATTATTATTATTATTTCACTATTACCTTGGACTATGGTGTATAGGCCCAAACTTATAATTATTGCATTTCATACACATATAAATGGATGTAAAGACTTGGAGAACAAGCATAAATGAATACTCCCAGTTCTGTCTCTCTCTTCTATTCTTCTATCTGTTATCTTCTCCTAACTTCCCCCACCAGAAAATTAACGGGTTCATCACATTTTCATATGTGGTTCTTTTAAGTATTCTGTATAAGTTAAGTGGGCTCACAATTGAACGGGATAATTTTGTCTCTCATATGTAGTGTTTTAGGGATATGATGATGAAGATAAGAAGATAAGTTACTTAACAATTGAGCGGGAGAATTTTCTCTCTCATATGTAGTTCTTTTAGGTATGAGATATGTAGTTCTTTTAGGTATGAGATGATGATGAAGATGAAGATAAGAAGATAAATTACTTAACAATTGAGCGAGAGAATTTTCTCTCTCATATGTAGTTCTTTTAGCTATGAGATGAGCGGAAGAATTTTCTCTCTCATATGTAGTTCTTTTAGGTATGAGACAATAAAGATGAAGATAAGAAGAGAAGTTTCCTAACAATTGAGCGAGATAGTTTTCTCTCTCATATGTAGTTATTTTAGGTATGAGATGATGATGAAGATGAAGATAAGTTCTTAACAATTGAGCGGAAGAATTTTCTCTCTCATATGTAGTTCTTTTAGGTATGAGATGAGCGGAAGAATTTTCTCTGTCATATGTAGTTCTTTTAGGTATGAGATAATGAAGATGAAGATAAGAAGATAAGTTTCCTAACAATTGAGAGCGGGAGAATTTCCTATCCCATATATAGTTATTTTAGGTATGAGATAAGCCGGCTAACAATTGAGCGAGAGAATTTTCCTCTCTCACATGTAGTGTTTTTAGATATAACAAGGTAAGTTTGCTATGAGTGGGATAATTTTCGCTCTCATATGTGTTGATTTTAGGTATTAGAAGATAAACTTGCTTATGATTGAGCGGGAGACTTTCTCTCATATATGCAGTTCTTCTAAGTATAAAATAAGTCAACTAAGAATTGAGTATGAGAATTTTCTCTCATATTCAGTTCTTTTATGTATATTATAAGCCGGCTAACAATTTAGCAGAATAATTTTCACTCTCACATGTTAGCAGTAATTTCACTAATGAGTAGCAAGTTGTTATTTAACTATTATCGTTCATTTTATTATTAATTGTATTCACTTAAATTTTATGTCACTCACTTATTGTACTCACTTTTTAAGAATAGTATTTAATTTTAAAATAAACTTAATGGTGAATAATTATCAAATTCTAATGAGTAGTGACAATTAATTTTCCGTAATAGACTCTTCATCGAATATTTATTGTATGGCTTATACTTTACGGTATTAGCTCATTGTACTCTTATTTTTCGAAAACATAGAATCCTAAAAAGTTATTTTTATTTTAATATTTAATTAGATTATGAATAAAGATACATGCACCAACTGTTCTTTCCCGTGCGTATGCACGGGTACTATACTAGTTATATAATAATCAAAATAAGTGAATTTTAAGTTACTTTTGTGATTGAATTGACTGTAGTTACTGTAAAAAATTATTCTAGCTATTTCCATAAGATTTTTTCTTTATTTATCATTTAAAAAAATTAAATATAGTATTTCCGCAAAATAGCAAATTAGTGAAGTTGGTCAATTCATCTAGAGTTTCACCAGTTTCAACCTATGAAGCACGGATACTTCCCTAGGGCAGCGTATCGGCGTATCCGATACGTTCCCGTATCTGATACTCTAGGATACCCGTACCGTACGTTCCCAGGCCGTATCTGCAATTTTTAAAAGTTTCCACTTTTTTTTTATAATTTTTTGAAAGTTTACGATACTCGTATCCTGACGGATACCCGTATCAACTTTTAAAAAAAAAATCCCAAAATTTACTTAATAAAATTCTAAAAAATATGAAAATCTAAAACTACATTTTACTTGGTAATCAAATAATGGGCCTATATGGCTATATCTGAATTAAGTCATTAACTCATACTCCGAATTGGGTACTTGCACTTTTAATTTCAAGATTGTAGTTGTTTGACTTATTTCTCTTTTTAAATTAATGACTTATTGACTACATTTATATTTCGAGATGCACTAGTGTATATGAGAAATATTATGAATTTATTACTAAGCATCTTGAAAAGGGAAAATGCTTCAATGCAATGAATGGGTAGACATCATAGGATATTATATGTATATATATATATATATATATATTTTCAAAAAAAAAATCTATTTTTAATATTTATAAATTGACCCCTATAACTTTTAATATTTGTAAATACACCCCATAACTTTTAATATTTATAAATATGGCCCCGTATCCGTATCCTACTTTTTTGGTTTTGACGTATCCCCGTACCCGTTTCCGCGTTTCTGCGTACCAGATCGGTGCTACATAGGTTTCAACAGATTCGATATATTTAACTGATTTGAATGCTATAAAATGGGTACTAAAAATAGTCCATCCTACTCCCTTAAAACTTAGCCAAATTTAATCGGTACATGAAATCATAAAATAAAAATTATGTTGTTGAATTTTGTACAGAAGAAAGATAACTTAAGAAGAATCATATGTTATTTAATTAAAATGGAAACTAGCAAAATTAGTTGAATTTGGGGCTGACATTTTGAGACGAAAAAGTTAATAACGGCCTGAAAAAACCGACCTATGAAGGGAAAAAAAAGAACCGAAAAAGTTGGGACTAGGGAAGGCAATGGGGCGGGTTTGGGGCGGGGTACACTCCCCCATCCCCGCCCCATGTCTAAAAAGTTCCCCCCATACCCGCCCCATCCCCGCCCCACCCCATTGTCCCCCACGGGTGCCCACGGGTGCCCCCAAGTAGATTTAATTTATCGTATTTGCATATACTTTTAATCTCTTATTATAAATATATGTAGTGCGATTCTAATGAAAACGATGGTTAACGTGGGAACACTCACATTTAATCCAATGTGATACACAATAGAGCCATTCTAGTGCACATTTGGACTTCGCTCAATACAAGCTAATATAAATAATCATGGTGACACTTTTGTAAATATTATGCTAGATACAAAAAAGTGCATTGTGAGAGCCCATTGTGCTTCACATTGGGGGTAAATGTGGTGTTCGCACATTCTCATGTTAAACGTTGTTCTCATTTGATCTTAAACATATATATATATATATATATATATATATATATATATATATATATATATATATATATATATATATATATATATATATATATCTACGCGCACACAGTGATATATGACACACACACACTGAAGTATTGTGTTTGTTAAAAGTTAATACCAACAATTTTAATAATTCTTCAATTTGAATAAGTTTTGTGAATTGAAGACAATTAAAGTAAAAATATAAGTAAACATATTATTATCATGTACGTTGTTTCAAAATTCTCAACAATTATAATATAATTAATCACTTTCTCACTCTTAAAACTCATATCGAAGTAACATTTATGTAAATATTTTTAATCATCACTAGCTTATTATTATTCTAGTATAATATGTATTAATTCATTAACCATGATTAAACCGTATACAATTATGTATGTCTATATGTATATGCGTTTGTTTTATACTACAAATAATTTAATTTAATATGTGTGTACATTATTTATATATGTATATATATAGGGTAAGGTTCAAGTGAGAAGAACCCTTTGGGTGAGAAATGAGAATGAATCTCAGCCATTGGATTCAACTAAGTTGCAGTAAAAGACACTTCATGATGCACTGAAATATGCAATCTAGCACAGTGGCATTTTTGTAAATACTTCTTCAAAATCCGTATTACATGCGTCTAGTGCAACATGAAACTATTTTGGTGCAACGCCGTCAAATATTAGTGCAACATGAAACAGTTTTAGTGCAACATGTGCAAAATTTAAATATTACTGCAATATAAAGCCAATTTTAGTGCAACTTCGTAAATCCAATGGCTAAGATTCATTCTCATTTCTCACACTAGATGCATTTCTCCCCTGAACCGATATACACACACACACACATATATATATATATATGTTTGAGTATATATTTATAACGGGGACGGGGCGGGTGTAGCAATACCCGTCCCCCGCCCCATATTTTAACGGCGTAAAATTATTTCACTCATCCCGTCCCCGCCCCATCCTTACCCCGCGAGGGGTTCCCCACAGGTCCCCGCCCCATTGCCATCCTAGACCAAAAATTGGTAACGGAGGTCTACCTCGATTTACAACCGAAGGATTTAAAGCTATTGGGCCCAAAGTATTTGATGCAGTCCAATTAGAAAATCACATGCCCAAAATTTCTGCCGCTTGGATTCATACCGTTTCTCTTCTGGTACCAATTCATCCGATCTACATTGCTCTCTCCGTCGTTTCCAGCTGCTCCTCTTCCCCTCAGTTGGACGCAGCCTGCACCACGCCGTTCGTCTAATATCCCGACCGAGGTTAGTCCATTATTACTAACTGCCGCCTTCTTATTTTATCGCATCTTGTTTTGTTTGTTCCTACATACGGAGTATCTTATCAGCAGTGAATGGATCAAGCTTGGAGGGTCTTGTTTAGGTTCGTTCAGTTAACGGATGAATAATTTTCTTAATTAAGGAGTTGCAATAAGCTGCAATTTAATGACCAATCAATACGCCAGCAGTGTGTCTTAGTCTGGAGAAGGGCCGAAATTCTGCAGATTGAATGTGAGCAAGTGTCATCCAAGCCCGTGATGACATAATGATGATGTCATAGTGACATCAGGCAGGAATAGTTATCCGAGGCGGTCCAGCTTTTATATATATAGAGTCACAGAGATAGAGATGCTTTACGGCCTTACTACCTAAGTGTCCATTTTTTTTTTTCAGTTGCCCATTGTCTTTGAGGGTATGCCTTAGGTACTTTTTAGGACACATTGTATTGGTATATGTTATCACTCAATCTTATGTTTCTAGGTATATACAAACAAGCTTGCCTAAAGATGTCTTCAGCTAAAGATCCTTTTTACATTGTGAAGGAGGAGATCCAGGAATCTGTAAGTTTTTTTAATTAAGGGTCCAGTGATCCTATTCATTTTCGGGGAATACATCTACTAATCATATTTTTCACTCTTCATACATATAAGTTCTTCATCTTCCATGATCCAAGGAAAGATTTTTTTTTTTCCTATTATGTGGGATACAAATACAATAACATGCAGATTTGAGTTATATGTGTGTTATTTGCTTATTCTTTTTTGTGTATGCACACATTAGAATTTTCATATTTGACAAATTGCTGCGTTTTCATTTTCTTATTGTCAGTTGCAAACTCGTAATTTTGCTATTGGGCTGCAAGCGTGCTATCTCTTTCTTTTAGAGCAAAGAGAGAAGCTTGTTTGAGCTGAGGTGTTTTTCAACAGCAAAACTGAGCTGTTTTATGTTTCCACAATTTCATTCTTAATTTGTCTGTATGGCTAGATTGAGAAGCTGTTATTAACATTCCGCGAATGGGAGCACACTCTCTCAAGCAATGGGAATCACATTCGCCTTAGAGAAGAGCTTTATGCAACGTGTGAGAGCATTGAATGGCAGGTATATATTTACATACATTGCTGTACGCCTATGTTTGAATTATGCTTGTATATCATCCATCATTGATGCTACCATTGTAACACATGCTTTAGCATTATATGAAATTCTGAATGTGCGAGGGACTTGGTCCTATTGTTTTAATAAATATTCCCGATAACAAATTTGACTGTCAGTCTGCATTAGAATCGAGTGGCATTTATTTTTGCTGAGCTCACCTTACATTGTCTCCATTACACCTTAAATTTAAGGTAGATGAGCTGGAGAAAGCTATTGATGTTGCAGCAAGAGATCCTTCTTGGTATGGAATTGATGAAGCCGAGCTTGAAAAACGACGAAAGTGGACCAGTGACGCCCATGCTCAGGTATCTGATAAGCTCCTCCAAAGTAACCATTATAATTAACCATTGTGGCGTCACTATTTGACAAAAAATCACTGCTTCCCTAATGCAATCATAAATCATTTGTTCTTGTTTATCATTACCTTTTGGTTCCTTAGCCCTCCTTTCAAGGTTGAGGGAGTGATACTGTATTCTATTATCTATAAATTATTGTTATTTAGATGGTTAAAAAGAATGGGAAGATAGTAAAATATAGAGAAATACATAATTTAACTAAACAGACAGTTATTTTCTAGCCCAAAACTAACAAATAAGTACTGTATAAATTACTTGAACAAAAGATACCCCCCTCCCCCTCAGAACCTCCTCAACCAAATAAGCCCTTGTTACTTTTAGATTGCATCAGTAGTTGACACTGGGTTTATAGGTAGGCAATGTGAAGAACACGGTAGCTGCTGCTGGAATTCGAAGAGAACTAATGAGGATGCCAGAGTCTACTCAGACTAGCAGAACCGACCAGTACACCAATCATTATAATGATGATTTTATATCATCAGAATCTGACACACAATTACTTCTCATAAAGTAATCTTCTTTTTATGAAGCTTGGTTCATGGTTTGATTATTCATCCATGCTTTTCCTATTCTCAACATACAGTATGGAACATGGCTTTTTTGTGTATTGAGGTATTTCTACTTTATAAGTGTCTTTTTCTCATCATGGAGTGTGGGTTCTTCTGTGCAGGCAACAAGATGAAGAGCTGGATGAGCTTAGTGCTAGCATAGAAAGAATAGGAGGTGTCGGGCTCACTATTCACGATGAACTTCTTGGACAGGTTAGCTATATCCTAAGAGCCCATTCATGGGTGCAATTTTTGACTTGTTAACCTTCTCAGCTAGTTTTTTTGGCTGGAATTGTTGAAAAGGTTGCTTCTAGCTTTGTTTTTAGATATTATTTTTATTAATATATTTAAATATGTATTTTTATATACGTGTGAACATGTGTTTGTTTTTTTTACTCAACATATCCATCCATTCACAATTTTAGCAGCCAGATCAAGCATTACCCAATAGGCTCATAGTTTCTCAGTAGAAGGCTATGACTAGTTTGAATGCATGAGCTGTTTATATGAGTTACTTTTCATAATATCTTGTGGGTTAAGTAATTTGTTATGTATTTAAACTGTAGGAAAAGATTATTGATGATTTGGGTTCAGAGTTGGATAGCACATCCACCCGTCTTGATTTTATTCAGGTAATTAGTTAAGATTTTTAGGGTTAAGTTTAGCAGCCCTAACTGTGATTACCATTTTTAAACATTTTGGAATTAAGGTATACTGCACCACTAATCCAAACTCTGCATAAGCACATCCGTAATTATGTTTGAAATTGCACTTTGGTTGCAGAAAAAGGTTGCTGTAGTAATGAAGAAGGCAGGTGCGAAGGGTCAGATTATGATGATCTGTTTTCTTTTAGTTTTGTTTATCATTTTATTTTCGCTGGTTTTCTTGACATAGTCAAAACTGCTAGATTATGATGAACTCTTACTGCTTGAATGTATATTTTGTAATGTAAATTTACCCTATTGCAAGTTGGGGAAAAAAACATAAAAGCATGGTACCGGACCGTAACGGTACATGAATGATTTACATGTTGTCAAATGGGTTAATATATATTCACACCAGATCAATACCAAACCAATCTAAATGGTTAAAGTGATTATCTTGTACCGTGCTGTTTGGCTATATGTATTTGCATTTTTTGTAAATTAATCTATCTAATTGTATTTTTGTTTATAAAATTGGGTATTATATACACTTTAATATGTGCCTTTAAGTTAAATAGTATGGATTAGCAAAAATAAGTTAAATAGCCGTTATTAAGTTCCACAATGTACATTATAACCTTATGTCAGATTTCTTTCTTAACCTCTAACAGTCTAACTATCCCTTAAATCCAGTATCATAAAGGATCATGCCTCTCTAAGAAGCTGTTCCGTTCACCTGATCTGAATGTTTCTGATCTGAATTTTTTAAGTTCTGATCTGATCTGATCTGAATTTTTCTGATCTGATCTGATCTGATCTGATCTGAATCTTTCTGATCTGATCTGATCTGAATCTTTCTGATCTGATCTGAATCTTTCTGATCTGATCTGAATGTTGCTGAACTGATCTGAATGTTGCTGATCTGATCTGATCTGATCTGAATGTTTCTGATCTGATCTGAAAGTTTCTGATCTGATCTGAATCTTTCTGATCTGCTTTGAATATTTCTATAATTGTAATTATAATTATAATTATTAGATTTATAATTGTAATTAAAAATATAACTTAAATAAAATTACAATTATAATCATAATTATAAAAAAATAATAATTAAAATTAAATTTAAAATTATAATAATTATACTAATTACACTAATTATAAGTACAGATACAATTATAAATGTAATTATATTTTTAATTATGATTAATTTTATAATTATTATTGTACTTATAATTATAATATTTATTTCTATAATCATAATTATATCTATAATTACTAATTTAAATATATAATTACTCCGAAGTAATAATAATTACAACAATAACAACAAGAACAACAATCATATTAATAATAATGATGATTATAATTATAATTGCATTGCAAATCATAATTATAATTATAATTATAATTATAAATATATTATATTATATTATATTATATTATATTATATTATATTATATTATATTATATTATATTATATTATATTATATTATATTATATTATATTATATTATATTATATTATATTATATTATATTATATTATATTATATTATATTATATTATATTATATTATATTATATTATATTATATTATATTATATTATATTATATTATATTATATTATATTATATTATATTATATTATATTATATTATATTATATTATATTATATTATATTATATTATATTATATTATATTATATTATATTATATTATATTATATTATATTATATTATATTATATTATATTATATTATATTATATTATATTATATTATATTATATTATATTATATTATATTATATTATATTATATTATATTATATTATATTATATTATATTATATTATATTATATTATATTATATTATATTATATTATATTATATTATATTATATTATATTATATTATATTATATTATATTATATTATATTATATTATATTATATTATATTATATTATATTATATTATATTATATTATATTATATTATATTATATTATATTATATTATAATAATAATTTTATATTATTAACATTATTATTATTATATTATTAATACTATTATTATATTAATATATTAATATTATTAACAATAATTATAATATAATAATCATAATTAATATATTAATAAAAGTGATAAATCATGTTTGAATTTTTTGATCTGATCTGAATGTTTCTGATCTGGTCTGATCTGGTCTGAATCTTTCTGATCTGATCTGAATGTTGCTGATCTGATCTGAATCTTTCTGATCTGATCTGAATGTTTCTGATCTGATCTGATCTGATCTGAATCTTTCTGATCTGATCTGATCTGATCTGAATCTTTCTGATCTGATCTGATCTGATCTGAATAAAATAAGATTAAGGAATAAGTAATACGATTAAGACGAACGGAACAGCTTCTAAATCTGCTAGGAGGTTAAACCATCTTCGATTGATTTTTCTCATGGACAAGTAACTAATGTTATTTATTGTTTGGAATCGACAATGTATGGAATTGATGGATAATAGGGTACTAACAAAAGTGTCATATTCTCTAAATATATTTAGAGACTGGTGAGTAGTCTGGTCTGTTTATGAAGTTATTTTTAGTTGCCATCATAAGTTCATTATTAACTGCTTTCTTCAATTTGTTTGGCAAGAGCAATATTGATGCTGAGTATCGATAATATGTAGTTTGGACATGGGATTTGTACGTGAGATCCGGGGTGCAATTACATATATTTGTTATTATTAGTTATATAGTGCGTTAAAACTCAACGATCATTAGTGGAAAAACACTAATTTGCGGCATCTAATAAGAATTGAATTTACAATAAGCACAAAAAACAATCATTTGAAATTTGAATAACGAAACGTTAACACCATCAGTATGGTGATCAATCACATAACAAAATTACCCGGTTTTGATTATTATTTTGATTTTGTGATTATATAATAAAAAGACAAATCTTATGATACGTTTGAAGTACTATACCCTAATTTTATATGAAAATCATTGCAGTCATTTTATTCAAAGCATAAAGTGTCACTATTGATAATTTGATATATAAAATGAAAGGTACAACTATGGGTAGAGGATTAGTGATATATATATATATATATATATATATATATATATATATATATATATATATATATGCAGGGGAGGGGTGGACTGGGTCGGGTTGGGCCTTAATTAACTTTTTGTTAAATTTGTATTTTCAAATTAATTCCAACCCCAACCCCACTCCCAAACCCCCCAACCGCTAGCCCCACCCACCTAGCAGCAAGCCCAATGGGAAAAAATTCAAAAAAGGGAAAACTGTCAAATAGGTCCTCGAACTTTCGTAAAAAGGTCAACTGAGTCCTTCTATAGGAGGTTTTGTCTGGCCGTCGCGATTTGGGGCAGTTTCCGGTAGAATTTTTTGATGATTTTTTTTGAGCATCTTATTCACCAAGTCTAGTTTACTCATACCAAATTTCAGCTAAAAATTCAATCGGGAACACATTCAAATTAATTCTTAAAGATAACTGCGCATTTTTGACGAATTAATTTGAATGCGCTCCCGATTCAATTTTTAGCTGAAATTTGGTATGAGTAAATTAGACTTGATAAATAAGATGCACAAAAAATTTCATCAAAAAATTATACCGGGAACCGCCCCAAATCGCGACGACCGGACAGAGTCTCCTATAGAAGGACTTAATTGACTTTGTTATGAAAGTTCGAGGACCTATTTGACAGTTTTCCCTACAAAAAATAATAATTGATGATCGTTAGGCCCGGACCGGGCCAGCCACCAAAATAGGAGCTTGATGCCCGCCTCTTTCTTCTACCAGTCGGGTCCCGGTCAATCGGGCCGGTCCGGGCCTGCACATTGGTAGGCCGGGTCAGGTAGCGGTCAAGGTAGGCCCGTCCCAGTCCACCCCTAGGAGGGACTTCGACATTATGTCAAGAGAAGAGATATTATCCGAAATAGGACTAAAAAGGTTTGAAAATTCCAAAATAGGACTGCCATGTTTTTATTCCCCTAATAGGACTAATTACTGCCATGTTTTGGCAGTATCAGACTTCAAACATGGCAGTATTTTCCAAACATGGCAGTAATTACTCCTATTTTGGAAATAAAAAAACTTGGCAGTCATATTTTGGAATTTTCAAACTGTTTTAGTCCTATTTCGGGACTTTCCCATGTCAATGGTTATTAATAATGTTGAAAATTTAATGTGTTAAAACGAAATGCACGCAATTAGGGAAGACCTCCTACGTTTGACCACCAAACACAAGGGTAACGTAATGTAAGTAAAAGTGAAGAAAAAGATCCCACAAACAATTCATCTCGAGACAGACAACTTGTTTGTGAGGGACAGACAAGTGTACATGAATTTCTAAAGTGATTTTAAAAGCTGACGGAAATCATCGGCAAATGGTGATTTACTCCAAATTTATGAGTTGTTCTAAAAACATGATGCGGACTCCTGAAAAGTGGTTGTAATATGTTCAAAAAGTAATAAAGAGGTAGACTAATTTTCCAAAAAAAAGAGGTAGACTAATTTTCCAAAAAAAGAGGTAGACTAATTATTTCGGAGTATATAACATGATTAAAAAACTATACATTAATTAAATTAAAAGATTTAAAAGGAACGAGGATGTACTCTATTTGAAATCTTTAACTGCCATGATTAAAAATATGTTACATCAACTAATACCCAAAGAAAAAAAACTAATACCAAAGAAAGATCTTTATCAAAAACAAAAAAAAAAAAGAAAGATCTTTATCACCATTATTATGCAGGTTGAAAATAAATACAGTTTCCGCGACATTTTATAATATTGAACTTTAAAGGTGATTGATAGTTAAAATTCAACTTTAGAAGTTAAAATAAATAGGCAATCATATCGACAGTTAGGCAATCGTAAAAAATAAGAACATACAAACACAAATAAAGGTCATAGAGGAAAATGTGACATCTAATAGAAGTAACTACAGTAGTTATTATTATAATGTTCAATTTTAGACTATACATACGTTATACGTATAACTTTTGCGATGTTGTATTCATAGTATATTTAGTCATATTTATATTTAATAATATTTTTCTTCTCGATATTATGCAATAATTAATATTTTTAACATAAATGATGCAATAATTAATATTTTTTATTATCTAAAGACATGCTTCCTTGAATTATATTGTACTACGTATTATTTTTTTAGGTTGTTTGGATGTATAAAAGAAGTTCATTTCTTTTTTATCTACTTAATTGTGTGTGTTCCTTTTCAGAGAAATATGACATTTTTTATACAAGATGACGTTTTTTCAACGATCAGGGTGGCAATGTTGGGAGGTGGAAGATGCAGCGGCAGAGGCCTGTATGTATTTTTATATTTTTTTTAGATATTTTTATATTTTTTATTTTTAAAGTTTTTATTTATTTTTAATTTTCATTTAATTGTATATTTGCTTACGTTATTATTACGGAGTA